CTTCTTATGTCATGATTCTCCTCGTGTCTAGGTAATCTCCGAACACATTGCAAGTAACGAGAATTATTATCCAACACCAAATACATTGAATTCATACTGGCAGGCCAAACCTCTTGTAAATCATAAGAAAAATAATTAGTTTGATACACAAACATGATGATATAGACTGGCCGTGATGTTACTTTTACATATGTTCCACCTGCGGATCACAACGTCTTGGCCACTGCGTCGTAGCACCATGTGAAAAATCAAATCCCGTGATTTTCAAAATGTAATATGCAACAAGTAACACATCGTGGCATTATATCTGACGTTGAGTGTGTGAGTGACGTGAATGCCAAGATTTGAATCTCTTCATCATTTTTTAGTTGTTGGAGTCAGTGTTCTCTCTTCAATGGCCAGTCCATATTATGACGTCACTGGTTTGATGTTTCGCATTGTCGAATATTCCTTTCAACGTCTAGCGCTAGTTTTTGAAAAATCTCTCATTATAGTTCAACAATTTTCAATTGAAGGTAACTCATATACAAATTGAACTGAGAGCTAACGGCAACAATGTTAAATGTTAGATCTAAATTCTTACCGGGATCATTTTTATTGTTTATGCATCGCCATTGTAAATAATTGAAAAGTAAGATGATTCCATAAAATTTGCCCCCCGTAACAAGATAGCTTCTACATATCGATAGGATGTACGAGTGAATAGTTGAACCAGTTCGTTAAATACTTTGAAACATCGGTAAACTGATCAACACTTCGCAGGTCTATTATATTTGCTATAACTAGTCATTCGGTTTCTTCATTATCAAACGTCCTTATCTGCATAGGCGTAGTGTGTTCTGTTTCTTGTGAAGTTGACTTTGATTTGTATAAAAAATACACTTCGTACAATGGAAGCTGTAGCCCAGTGTTCATTTTTAACGGGAATATCCGTGTCGACAATTGAACGCATTGTACGTGAAAAAAAGGTGACTGGGATTGTGCAAGCTCCAAAAGTACATTGTCGTGGTAGAAAAAAAAAATGAATTGGACGAGTAGTAGGAACAGTTTGTTTGTTATACCATTCATTCTTTTTTTTTGAGAATAAAGCGCCAACCCTCGAATCCATTAGGACAAAGGTTAATGGATAATGATATCATTCCGAAATTGAGCAAAAAGAAGTTGAGGAAAATAATAAAAGAAGATTGAAAATTTATATATGCCAAATGATCCCGTAAATCTGTCTTAATAGAAAGAGAAGATATAGTCTCATGGCGACGGATATATCTTCGCTCTATTAGAGAAATGCGTTCTACTCACAAAAGATTTATTATCTGGACGAAACGTGGGTGAATGCTGGTCACACAGTATCTAAGATCTGGCAAGATATTACTGTAACTAGTTATCGTCAAGCATTTGTGGACGGTTTATCAACAGGGTTACGCGGACCAACGGGTAAAGGGCAACGACTAATTATCGCCCATATAGTAGCGAGAATGGCTTTTTAGACGATAGTGCACTAATGTTTTTATCAAAAAAAAACGGGGGATTATCACGAAGACATGGACGCCCAACGTTTTGAAGGATGGTTTGAATCCCTTCTTTCACGATTCGAGCCAAATTCGTTAATAGTAATGGATAACGCTTCTTAGCACAGCCGATTAGTAGAACAGCTGCCAACTATGACCACCAGAAAAGCAGACATGCAGATTTGGTTAGGACAAAAAGGAATTCCATTTTCCGAACACATGGTTAAGGCCGAGCTTATGAGTATCATTAAACAGCATCGTGACAGATATCGCATCACCATTGTGAAACTTCCTCCTTACCATTGCGAGTTGAACCCGATAGAATTACTCTGGGCTCAAATCAAGGGTTACGTAGCTCGTGAAAACGTGACATATAAAATTTCTGATGTCCAACGTTTATTAGAACTCGCAATGGAACGGATACGGAAAGAAGATTGGGCTAATGCTGTAGCCCATGTGATCAAGGAAGAAGAGAAAATGTGGAAATTGGACGGGATGGTAGACACTGTTTTCGACCAAATAATAATAGATTCAAGTGTGACTGGGGATTCCTCTTCGGACGAGTCAATGGAATCTCAAACTTCATAACCATAACATAGGTAATTATTTATTTGCTTTGTAGTTCTCTTTCTATATAAAAGGAACATAATAATAATTTTGTAAATTTTTCTGTTTTTTTTTGTAGTACTGTATGAGGCATAATAAGAAAATGTACCATCAGTTTTACCATTGACACCAGGTAGCGCCACCTGCTATAACAATTTTTACGTAATTACCTACCTATATATAAAAATATTATTTTGGTACGCCTCTGCAGAGTTGGTAAGAGGATTATCCGTTGGTCACTTCAAGTGCGACGTTGCTAATGAATCACCTTCAATTGAAAATTGGTATACTATAGACGTATTATGTCCAATGATCATGAATCTTAAGTCAAAATTCAACTAACTGCAACTTTCGAAGATACGGTCACTCAAAAGTAAAAATATCGAATATATCAGGATCATACTTTCCGTAAAATGGTAGGTCCATGAAAGAGTATTTCATACAGTATATGGTATTTCATTAACCGTTTCCTATCTTTAAATTTGAATAAAACAAAGTGTCTGTGTGTATCATCGAAATTTTTTGTTCGTTTGAAAGACCTATTGATGCAATTATATTATGTGTAACTTAAATCAGGGGCTGATGTTGGCTTTGAGGATCGCTGTGGTTTGTGGCTCATTCGCATTCACCTGCGACTTTAAGAAAACACCACGCGAGATTACCATGTCCTCAAATCGCTCGTGCAGAATATTCAATGGGTCATGAGCCATTCAGTTGATACTACATGTCGTTGGTGTTCATATTATCCAATTCTAGACGAAAGAAGTTGATAATTATCTACCTATAGTGTTTTCCGTCGACAGTGAAGGCGTCGCCAATGTTGTCCTCGAAAAATATGGACCAATGACGCCGCCAGCCCAAAATCCACACCAAACAGTGACTTTTTCGGGATACACTGGACGCTCTTGGATCTCATTTGGATTGGTATCGTTCCAAATTCGACAATTTTGTTTCTTCATGTACCCATTCATCCAGAAATGAGCCTCACCGCTGAAGAGTTTTCGATGAAAAGTAGGATCAGTTCTCCAGAGCCCATTTAGCCCAAAATTCAACTGACCCAGGAACTAGGTCAGTTCTTCGGGACAGGCGCAAGTCACGACGCAAAATTCGCCAAGTTGTGGTCTGCGAAAGGCCGAGCAAAATCGACTGCCTCGGATTCTCTTACAAACTCTCACAGACATCGGCGATGTTTTCGACAGATCTTGCGTTTTGTCGATGTACGGTTGTTGGTCGATCGTTTACTGAACCAGTAGACTCAAATCCATCCACCATATTCCGAATAGTCCTCTCGGTAAGACGATTATGGTAACCGGAAAATGGACGAAGCGCGCGGTACGTTGCCCGAACACTACACCTATTTTAGTAAAAAAAATAAATTTGCACGTGTTGTTGAATGTTATATCCATCCATGGTGGCAAAACAGAGTTAACTAGTTTGACAGATGTAGCTTCAACAAGATGCCGTTATCAAGTCCCTGTTCTGTTGGAAGACCCTCCATAATGTCAAAGTACATTTTAGACGTTCATGAATAACATCTTTCTGAGTTATTATTATCATGAATATTATTGATTTTCATCAAGTACAGGTCACTGTATTCAAAACTTTTGAAAGTTTCCCACATTTTTTTTATAAAAATGAAGAAGTGAAAGCCAGAAAGCTATTTCTACTGTTAGCTGATTAATGGAAAAACAGATATCAGTAGAAATAGCTTTCTGGCTTTCACTTCTTCATCTTTATGAAAAAAATGTGGGAAACTTCCAAAAGTTTTGAATACAGTGATCCGTTACTTGATGAAAATCAATAATATTCATGATAATAATAGCAAATCTTCACAATATATACTTTATTTTCAATGCGCGTTTCACTACAACAGTAGTTTCAACTGAGGTTTCAAAAAAGAAACTATAGTTGTTGTGGAACTACTGTTTTCCCATTTTGACTATAAAATTTACTTTCATGAAATATTGCACACCGTTATATACTCTTCTTTGTTGTGTGAGTTGTGAAAAATGACTGTTTTAGGAAAAGGATGAAATTGAAGTCACTGAATTCATTTGATAGCTTCATAATCATTTATATTATTCTTTTCTTCCAACTATTAAGCTAAAGATTACACATTATGGGTTTCTCTTCATTCGTGTATCATTATTATCAATTCAGTAGATACGGAATACTGTAACGTCTAACTAGATCTAGTTTCACTAGATAGAAAAGCCAATCTAGACCTCTTTTTTCATGTCCCCGAAGAAAATTGATAAACATACAATCATTAAAAAATATTAGAAATATATTTTATGTAGATTTTCACAATATATTTTCCATTGTTTTTTGGTTCCGCTTGTAAATTCGTCCATCAAGAATAAACATTTAATACTAATATTCTGTAATGGGGGACTTTATGTAGTTTAGAATCAACAAACTTTCCAGGTCACGTCGATGAGTTATTTTCCACGAAGTTTTATTGACTTGTTGATAATTTTGCCTATCAAAAATGACCGAGAAATCATACAGATACTCATCTCAACCAACAGTACATTTCAGTTATGTTCCAACAAAGCTTGTATAATCCGTAACTCTGACAGAAACAACCCTTATCACCTCATATATCTATTCCTTTATGTTTGTGTACAAACTCCTTTCCGTTTCCCAGTCATTTCAAAATATTTCAAACTTCCCCACTTGTATATTCAAACCACCGTGGAACTCTCTTATCCGTAACAGAATGGTCCCAAAAGACGATTTGTTTCTGTGAAAAAATACAGGTTATTGAGTAAACTCATTGATCCATTATATTATCCTGGAGAAACATATTCTTTGGATTCACAAAATGAATATGCTTCTCCTCGTTCGAATGCAATCTAGTATAAGACTTTCTTCTTGTTTCAGATGTGGTCTCTGCTTTTGAACCGGATTTTCTGTACCCTCTGGAGAATTTGACAGTAGCACAGGGCCGAGACGCTACCTTTACATGTGTTGTCAACAATCTGGGGGGATATAGGGTGAGTGGGGATCTCACCACGGCAAGGGTGTGTATTTTTTTCTATCTAATATTTATGCACCGATGGCAGCATTGAGTTGAGTGTAACTGAAGGGTCCATTTTTAAAAGTCACCGCATCAAACAGTCCAAAGCGAAAAAATTTCATTAGGAAAGACGACGGTATAGGGTTCATAGATGATTATGATTCGTAGCATATTCTTTGAATTTCACTAAGGTATTTCTGTCCTCAGTATTATGGTTTTTTGATATTCTAGTTGTTTTGTAGGTTTCCTTCAAAAGTCTCATGACATCATTTGGATGACTGATAAAATTATTGGAGGAACTCATATTAACAGGTTTACAAAACTGTTGTTTCATTATTAAATACTTCAGCAAAGATTTCATTGAATTAAGTTAAGTTATGTGAAAAACTCAAAAGATCACTAATTTTTATGAAGAGTCAGTGCTATATTTCATAGAAAAAAACTACAGATTTCTCATCAGTTGGACTTGATTGATTCAAATTTTAATTTTTTTGACATTCTATAAGATCCCATTCCATATCTTTCTTAGGGGCTCAGAAGGAAATATCACGTTATTTGCTGTTGATACCCACAAGTAAAGTTACAGATGATAGCAAAAAAACCATTGTTTCTTCAAAGAGGTATACTCAACTATTCTCATATGATTTTGATGTTTAAATTCATAAGCAAAGCATATTAACAAGTGATATCAAGAAAGACTATTGACTTTTTTCAAAGAATAAATACAGTACTAAACTTTGTCACTATCTTCTTCGGTAACTGATTGAACTCTATCGATGGTATTAGATCATTTGACCTGATTATCTTAGATAGAAAGCGATCATTTGATTGATTTGATCATTTGATCGATCTCAATTCATTAACACGCTCACAATATATAATATAACGTACCTGAAATTGTACAAGGTTCTCTGATCTCTTCAAAGAGTTCATATCGATCCAACTTTTGTCATTCATCAATTCATCTAGAAAAAAATCGGTAATCAATTCTTTTCTCTGAAAAATATTGTGTGAACTCTTTTGTTTCAGGAAAGTCTCACGATTACTCGTGAGATTGAGCTCTTCTTCTAGCTCTTCTATAAATATCTCCAACTTTTCGAGTTGAATTCCTTCTCAGCTTTGAATTTTGGAGTTCTGGATATTTCTACTAACTTATTCCAATTCATCATAGACTCTGTAATATTCACCTCGAGCTTGTGAAATGTTTCTCAGACTTCCTGCGGCTCATCTCAAACATCACTAACTTCTGGAATCTGGCTTGATCTTGGCTGTTGTGAATTTCAACAATTCTGCTTGTTCCAGGAATATTATTATATCAACTTCTTAAAAAAATATGGATTTATTCTCAATCACTTTTCAATATAATAATTTTGGTTCTTGTTGAGAAACTCTCTGAAACAATCTAGCTCTCTTTTTTTGTTCTGTTATATTATATTAAATCTTATCAGCTATGCCAATTTCAACTAATACCTACAAAACACAGCAGTAATTTTACGTCATCGCAACATTCTCAAATATATAATAATGAATATGTTCACAATTCCCCGTGAGTTCGACTTTCAAAAATGGACTGTTAAACCTCAACTCAAGTTTCTGCCACTGCACCGTCATCAGAGCACTGCACAATGCACTGCACTTCAAGCACAAGCACGTCACGAATGGAACACCTTTGCACAAAAAATCAACTAGATCAGCCAATCGATTACGTGATAATGATCAGTTGAAACGTTGACTGAATACTCAGTTGACGGTTGTCATTTATGTGTAGAGAATAACAGATAGAGAATGTTCATCATTGCAAAAGTCATATTGTTTTTCGAAATGTTTCTCTTGATAATTGATACACTTTTGCATACGTTCATTTGAAATTAAATCATATTTTTGGTTGCGTAGTTTAAAAATGATAAAATAGGACATCACAGTACCTACTGAAATATTCAGAGTGGAATATTTACAAAAATTCGTTATAATATTTCTTTTAATCATTTTGGAAGTTATAACTATATTTCAGCACCACCACTGAAGTACAACTTGTCTCCAAATGGTGTTTCCAATTTTTTTTCTTGGCACCCTACCGATTGGCTTATCCAAACGATGCACACTCCTGTATAGCCTGAACGAATTGTTCCTTCAGATGATTTGCTTTATAGCCAGTCTTCAAGTATGTCCACTTTCCATAGATGGAATTTATTTCCTTATACGTGGATTTGGCCATTAGGATATGCGGTTGGTTACTACCTCGTCTACACGCAGAGGGGTCGATGACAGATATGTTGCTTGTCGTTTGCTCCAGCTTTGTTCGAGGTACGATACTCTGAAAAAATTAGATTTTTGAATATGGGATATCATCGACTTTGTGGTGATGTAGGACACTGCCTTGCACTGAGGAGAGGCCAAATAGCCCGAAACCAGCCTGCAAGTGTGCCTGTTCCAACAATTGAAAATCGATTCCTTCAGTTGTATCGCCAAAAGCATATGCAGGAAATACTTCTGTGAAGATTCCTCCACTGACACCTGTTGGATATATTCCAACGCCCTTCATGGTATTAGCCAGGAAAGTATTTATCTTCTGATAGCTGTCAGACCATGAACCTACTGCGTAGGTAATAATAATAATAATAATATACTTTATTGTCATTAAGGGAAGACTGGCCTGAATGAATTGTTTCTTCGAATAATTTGATTGAGAAAATTATTCACATCCGTAATTCAAATTAAGTTTATGAGCTTTTGACAGTTGTCACCAGTCAAACAGTCCTAGTGATCAAGCAAAATCCTTGCTATCGTTCATGTAGGACATGTTTAGAACACCAGAAATCGAAACACAATCAGAATATACAACGTTCCATGAACTATTCAAAAAATGGAGGAACATCAAACCAACCCGAGTGTGCCAAAAATATGTCAAACAAAATGACAGCCGCATAACAAAGTTTTGAAAGAATCGAATTATATATTCACGAATAAGGCTAATTTGGGAAAAATAAAATCATCAATCAAAATCTGTCAAGAAATTAATTCATTAAAGTATTCAAGACTATATTAGTAATGATATTGCATCAGATTGCATATTTCAAAACATCATTCTTAGATTAGGGTTGAAAAAGGGAGAAACTACATCGGACCCAGAGAGCTAGACAATTTATATACTTTGGGTTATAAATTAAAGTTAAACTAATGTTCCTGAATGTTTCACTCGCTACATTCCGTTTCCTCAAGTAATAGCCGTCTTTGGACGCCATATTCGGCTATAATACAGTGGCGTAGCTGGCAGAAGAGAGAATTTATTTCAGGTTTGAAAGGAATTGAAATACCAAAGGATAATTATTCGGTACTAGCTGCTGCCTACGAGTTCATTTGGATGTAATCCAGTATTTTCAAAGATTTGTCTACCTTTGGTTATTTTAAAACCTAGGTGTTCGAAAAGTCTCTGTTTTTTTTCAAAATTGACTCTTTTGATACAGAGGTATATCCGAGAAAATACATTGAATAACCAAATCCCAGTAACCAGAGTTGAAACTCTGGTAACGGAAAACCTCAGATAGTTGCCCAGCCACGAACTACGTGAATTAGTTTTGTGAACAGCGCAAAATTAATTAGACTGAAGTACTAACTACATGACTTCCTGGAGTCAAACGCGTAACACTATTAAAAATATACTATCTAGTTTCTCCAATTCTATCTACCTTAGCCAATACCATGTCATTCAATCGATCCCACTGAGAGTCTTCTAACTCCTCAAGTTCAACAAGCTGCAGTCTAATAAACTGGTTAAACCAGAAAAATCTCTATAAGATCCTGAATATTAATGGAGTCTTGCGAGGGTAAATCACGGAAATGAAAGTTAACTCCAATCGTATCGTTATTATTGAAACCATGTCGAACAAAACTTCCGAAACCCTTTGAATAACATTGCAAGAACACATGAGTTACCTTCATATTCGGGTTAGTGATATCCTAAACTTCCAGACCTACACCCATCCTAACCCCTCATTTGTTATCTGTGATGTCAACTTCGACATGATCCAATTTTCAGAGGACGCCAATACCCATGACATATGGAGAATCATACCTATCTGGGAGAAAAAAAATCCCTCCACTTCCTTTAACCAGGTAATTACTACTGAATAGGATTACTACACTCACTTTTCAACTCAATACATCGATATCTTTGGACCTAGTTGTCCCAGTCCCTGTATGTCGCAATATATTTAGTACCACGAACCGTTTGGCCCAGAAATTCCCCACTCATCAAACCAAATGCCTCTCATAATATAATTGATACAGAAATGATGGAAAGGGAAAACAAACAGACTCGACTGTAGGGATGGAACGTCATTCTGGAATGAGTACATTGACAAGACGAAAACAACGAAATGGAAGTAACATAGTCATTGATAAAAAAAGCAGAAGCTTTCCATAATGGTTGAGGGAAAACATCTAAACTACCTACAGACGCACAAACACTTGAGTACTTTCCTAGCGCTTGCAAGTAGGCAAATACCATAATGATCCCTGAACCACACTAACAACAAATGAATCCATAATTCTATAGACCCATCAACCTCCTTTGCTACCCAAGTAAACTACTTGAAACACTATTGAAAATCAGACCTAACAAATTCTTCAATAATTACATTATCCCTATGCACCAACATGGTTTTCATCGCTCATCAAAATTCACACTCTACCACACACTCTACCACAATAGCAATTCCTCTTACGACTCTTACGACCGTGCGACTCGACAACCAGAACATTTTCGATAAAGTCTGGCGGGCCAGCCTTATCTGAAAGCTCATCCACAAAAACTTCCACCTCTCTTTATCAGACTGGTCACATCTCTCCACATCTCCCCAACTGTCAAATCAGTATCCACGACACAATACTATATTTCTATAACCCAAATACCCACATACTATGAAGCCATGATCTACTGCGTGATCTCACCGAGACAATCCAATCGTATACTACCAACTGAGAGAAAAAAACCTTCGAAA